TACGAGAGTCGGGTTAAAATTAATAAGACTGATTTTAATCGCATCATACAGTGAATAGCCGAGGCTAGAATATTATAATAATTATTATACAAATATAATAAAGCTAATGTTAAAAGAAGGGATCAAAATTCTTGCTTACTAGTTAAATTCGCTTGCAATATGAATTAGTAGATATTCCACTAGTTTATATTGATGTGTAGAATAACATACGTTGTTTTGAAATGTAAGAAGCTTCCTGTTTTCATATGAATAGCCTCAGGTGTTTAATCTCGGATATCTAATGCTTTACGATACATTTACTAATTTTATGTAACTTGTATCACGTATATTTATATATATCTAAGTTATTTCATTCATAGTACACAATATTTCCTATGAAGAATTAATCCTGGCTATTTGAAACTATCCAAGTGAACAGGATTTTGTATAAGGAAGATTCCTTGGATAAAGTTTGTTGGAATAAAATTTGAAGGTGTGCATTCACTTTTGTGGGTCGTTCTATATCGTTGCATAAAATATAGTACAGAATCCGTGACTCATTTCTATAGACAATGTCGGCTTCAGGCGGGAATAAACCCTTTCAGTTGTGCTCCGTTATCCGTACTAATGACACGTTTCCCGTTTGGACTCGTTGTTATAAATTATCACAGGCAACGATACAATTAACAACCAAGATCCAGCGTTTCGTCGTCCCGGCTGTTTCGAAATTATTGTGAAATACCGTTGCGCGCGTATGGGAATTTCATTATTACGCGTACCTCGTCGTTTTTCTCGCGTTCTCTCTCTCTGCCTCGCTCAGATGACGTAACACTAATTCTGAGAGCGAATTATTTATCCGATGGAACGAACAGACCGACGCAGGATGCCGGGTCGTTCGTCATAATTCATCTTTTACTTTGTCAACGCGATTTCATTTCGATTTTCCAAAGTTCAATTTTCCACGGGTCGCTCCTTTCATCGGATTCAACGCTGAAGCTGTACAAAAAGAGGGTATCTCATGCCCGGGAACGGTATGACGTTTAATTATGCTTATTTCTCATTCCGAGAACCTATCAATGACGGACGCTTAAAATTTGCACGGAACGGGCAGTAGTTGGAAATATTTAAAAAGGTATCTGTAAAAGATTCATTTCCCAACTGTTCCGATTGGTATTCATTCCGGTTGAAAAGTTTTTATGGATCGTTGTCAATCCATTTTCAAGCTTCGCGAATATTTGTAAGGCTCCAGGCAACATTGCGAGCAATCAGTGTTGCATGCACGTATACCATCGAATCTGTACTCAAATTAATGCACCGAGCCTGGCTTAAAACTCAAGTTACGCACTGTAACAAAAAACTGAGTTTTGCACATTGAAAATTGACTACGAATAACAGCACGGACGACCGAGTTGTCCAAGTAAACCGCAACTTTTCTATTTTTGTTTTATTTAGAAAATCCAATTTTGCTTTATTCCGACGGTTCACTTCCATTTTATCCACCGCACTGTACGCAATTGTTCTTCGAACATCTACACATTTGAAATGTTTAATACTTACCATTATTATTACATTTTTTGCTACAAGGGCTTTCGTGTTACAAGTACATATTCTTCGGAGTATCAGAGTACAGTTGAAAGTATTTCGAATATACTTCAATTTCTGGAATCGATAAGAATCCAGGCTGCCTATTCACCTCTTTTTCTCTCGTCGTTCACATTGCCTTCGGGCAACAATCGGAAAAGATTTGAAAGCTACGGCTGCTATGAGTACGAATCGCAGAGTCATCTTTAAGGCTAGTAGTCATAAAGTGGAAAAGCTAGGATGGATAGCATTAAAATCCCAGACGTATGCAATCTGATCCCGGGCACTTTTAATTCCTTTCATTAATATTAAGCATGATATTCCAAGATAAACATTTCTGTAATCCTAATTCAGGAATAAAGATAAAATGTTGTAAAAAATAGAGATTCATTTAACAAACGAATATAATAAAATCAGAAACTAAAATGTTTAATATTGTTTATAACGTGACAACGAATAATAATATCAAACCGATATTAGTAGGAAAAGCCTGCTCTTTAAAATACCATTTAGTTCGCCTCGATACGACCATTTGCACCAAATATAACTATGAGAGTTTACATTGTTTTTATTGAAAAACAAAAATTTTTTAAAAAGGTGTTCCTCGCCCGTTTCCATAAACTATCAAATGCAACTTCTGTATAAAAAACTTTTCGCCAGCGTCAATAATTAATTGGATATTTCCTTCTATACTTTTTAGCACGTAGCTATTTATTATTAGCATTGTTCTTCCGACGTCTAATTAATTTTTAATTATAGGAAATGCGTTTTACTAAGGTACCTAAAAAATTTTGGGATTGACTGTATAGCCAATACATCCTTAACAATCATAACGAGATGTGCCAACCAACATTCGAAGCAGAAAAACCTCCTCTTCGAAAATCCGTTCGATTCATTCCAATCCGACTCTTAGTTTCGGAAATATTATCGTGTAAAGACAATCGCAGTTTCTTCCTTCTTTCACGCACGTGAAATCCCTACTCCATTATTAAAATTCTCAAAACTTCGACTGTTTATAAATTTACGAGTAGGAATATCAAAACGAGAGTTGAATCGTTAGCAGCAAGGAAGTCTTCCCTTCGAAATGCCGTGCAATTCAACTCGATCTGACGTTCTGTTCCCAAGATATCATCGCGTACAGACGAGTGCAATTTTTTGTTGACTGTCTTCCTCGCGCGCCTCGGACTTCCCTCTCGCACGCTGACCCAGTTACTGACCTGCCCCACCAGACCGTCTAGACAGCTACCACGCGGTACCAAGAAATACCTAACCCTTTCATTCCGGGAACAGAGCGGGGCGGGATTTCCCGGGGATTCCGCGGGGCTCCGCGACAGCGAAACTTTGGGAGCTCATATCTCCGGAAGGGATTGAGCTATCGCGATGAACCAAAAGCGATTTTTCTCGTCTAGGTTTCATTTATCAAATTAATCTTTCTCCAACGCAAATTTCAACAGAGATATTTTTATGCTTCTAACGTAATGTTCGAAGTTTTAATACTTAATAAAATTAAACATCCTAATTAAAATTTTTTTTTTTATGTTAAATTGTATGGATATAGGAAGATAATAATACTGTAGCAATTTGAAATCGAATCTTAATTATTGTTTGATATTTCACTGTATATTTTAGATACTAAACACAAGTCGTTGATCGTTGTAAGACTATCGTAGAAAATTGAGAACTCTGCTTGCTCATTCGCGTCCATGTTCAAACTTGCAGTCGCCTTTGGGCGATCCCGATCCGAGCACAATTAACTGACACGGTTAAGGGGGTGAAATTAAACACTCCCGTGCTCTCCTCTTTTCTTACGTACGAGTCCCGCGTCCTCGCGTCGGAGAAAGACACTTGGCCGCGGGCCATTGGCAGTTCTCGTTTCTTTTTTTAAAAACGGGACGTGTCTTTCGCGCGAACGTCCTCCGGTGTACGTGTATATGTTAGCAGAAAACAGTAGCTGTTATAGCCACCAAGGACTCTCTCTTATGGAGCATTGCATTAAGCGAATACGTTGTTTTAATGTTAATTGCGAAATGTCTTCGTGGTAATGTAACTCAATGAAAGCGATGCGATGGGAGGAAGATTTGAATAAAATATAATTGATACAACTTTAATAGAATAGAATGTGCATAATTGTTTATTGTTCTTAATTATGCTCTGAAACTTTGAGCAAAAATCTGAAGGGTATAAAATTAATTTTGGTCGTTAAGTATCTCGTGTATAAACACGAGCTTCGGGGATAAATATAAGGAGCTCAACTATTACCGCAGCCAATTCCGATTTAATCCAGACTTTCCCATGCATACTGTAATGTACATACATATTTTATCAGAGTTCACGTTGGCTGGGCTGTTACAGACGCGGGTATCTCTCGGTTTCGCGGTAAGAAAAAAGGCTGAAAGTAATTGGCATCCCTTTTGATCTGGGCAAACTCGAGCCGCGGTTTAATGGTATGACATGTTGCGTGTGTCAAGATAACTGGTTCAGTGGTTTAGCCCGGCTACCACTTTGGATTAGTACCGCGGCCTTCCCCCTCCGAGCCTCTCTGTCTCTCTCTCTCTCTCTCTCTCTCTTTGCCCCGTTTGTCGAATTACTGGGATTAACCAGATTACACGGATCGTACAAGTACGATACGTCTAATACGAGTTATTCCATGCATATCTTAACGGTGGCGTAGGTAACTAGGTAGGGGAATCGTCGGCGTTTAATCGATTAATTAAATTATACACCGGCTCTCTGGGGCTCGCGTACCGTGCAAAACCAACTCCTCTTTGGTAAACGCTTTCAGAGATTGTCAGTCCGCGGAGTCTCGCTCCTTTAACCGGCCTCAAAACCGTTTCTATTAAAATTTACTTAACGAAATCGCACTCGTCATAGATTAGAGTTATCTCAGGAGACATACGGTGTTGGAATCAAGCATTGAAAAACTTATATGGTCTCTAAATAGTTTCTTTTTGAAACATTAAATCA